TTTTTTAAATTAATTTTATTTATATAATATAATATATTGTAGTAAGTTTTATTTTTTAATTATATAATAAAAAATTTAAGGTTACTTATAAGCTAATTTTTAAAAAAAATTTAAATTAAAATATTTTATATTTAATTTATAACAATCTTTTTAAAATTTACTTTTAGCTATATTAATCATATACAGGTCAAATGCTGATTAATTGTATAAGTTTCTAATTAGTCACTTTTTTTAATTAGTAATTAATAAATAAAAATCAGTAAATACTACAATCGGATATAAATCAGCTAATATCTAATTGATAATTATTAGGTAAAATTACATAAATCAGATTGCAATCCAGATCTATTCTAATTGAGAAGGAACTAAAATTTATCAAGGAGTCGTCTGTGTAAAATTCTAGGAGGATGCAAGAGCTAAATTGAAATCGATTTTTAATTAGTATTTGCATATATGAAAGGGAGATACAGTCGACCCCCATAGTCACCTCCTATATAATCACTCTCTTTCTTTAGTCACACTAGACTGTAGTTCCAATTTTTTAAATAAGAAAATACCCCTTTTATAGTCACAATACTATATAAAAATATAATCACATCAAATTATATCTTTTTATATAATCACAGTAAATTATTATTAATATAAATTTTAATTATGCAATATAATTTTATAATTTGTATTACACTGCAAGTATTTATATACATAATACGCGTATTATGTTAAGTATACTGTTTAACTTACTACAACATACCACCTACTCGTTTAGAAAAAACAAGAACACGTACTGCTATAAATATAGATATGAAAAAGGAAATTTGCGAATATATTAAAGCAAATCCCAATATAAATCAAGGCAATGTTACATTGTTTTTTAATAAAAAATATCAGGAATTGAATATTGATAGAACAACTGTGAATAAAATATGGAAGAATCAAGAAAAATAGCTATCAGTTTTATCAACTTCAACAACTTCACATATTTTTCGTAATTATTCTGTTCAATTTCTAGAACTTAATAAAGCTATGCAAATTTGGACTATACAGGCAATAGCAGAAGGTCTTCCTTTATCAGATTTAATATTACAACTTAAAAGAATTGAGTTTGCTAAAATGTTAAATATTGAAGATTAGTTAAAGTGTACAAATGGTTGGATTTATAGGTTTAAGTTACAAAATGGTCTTCAAAAAATTAATTTTTCGGGGAAAGCTAATAGTGCTCTATAAGAAATCCTTCCAGAAGAATGTTTACGTTTACGTGTACTTTTAGCTAAATATGATGAAAAAGATATATATAATATAGATGAAACAGGTCTTTTCTTTCGAATGGAATCAAATCAAACACTTAGCACAGGAAAAATTTCTGGTCGAAAAAGAGTAAATAAAATTTATTTTTTAAATATTATTAATTAATTAAAAATTAAAAATCTTTATTTAAATATAATTTAGGATAAAAATCGCCTTTCAGTACTTTTATGTTGTAATTCTGATGGTTCTCACAAATTTCCACCTCTTGTAATTGGAAAATCACTTAATCTATGTTGTTTTAAAAATATTAATAAGTCAAATCTTCCTATAATTTATCATGCTAATTCAAAGGCCTGGATGAGATCAGACATTTTTCTTAAATGGCTTAATTATATTGATAATTGGTTTTGCATAATGAACTGAAAGATTTTACTTCTTATAGATAATGCTGGATCTCATTTTAATTCAAAAATTTTTGAAGATTTGAGTGAAGACAACATTAATACTGAAGAAGTAATTGCAGTGTTATCCCATTCAGCTCAAAATCTTAAAAAAAAAGCAATAAAAAAAACTCCTAATATCAAGCTTACAAATATTAAACTCATTTATCTTCCTCCAAATACCACTGCTCATCTTCAGCCAATGAATGCAGGAATTATTCATAGCTTCAAATCCAAATATAAACGAGAATTTTGTATGCATTTAATTCAACAATTTGATAGAGAAGTAGATCGTAAAAAGTAAGTTTAATTTGTTTTTTATTTAATTAATTTATTATTATTTAATTAATTTTAATAATTTTTATTAGACACAAATTAAATATCAAAGAAGTAATAGATTATATTTCTGAATCATAGAATAATGTCAGCCAAACAACCATATGAAATTGCTGGATTAAAGCTGGCATACTTCTATCTAATAATTATATTGTAGATGATATTAATAATCTGCAAGATGATTTAAATGATTATGAGATTGATGTAATTGATATTGGTTTACCAGAGGCTGATAATTTACAGGACTTTTTTCAGATTTATGATTGTGAAATTCCAACTGAAGAACATGTCAATAATGAACAAATAATTAATTTGTTGCAGGATGAAGAAAATAATGATGACGATAATTCAGATGAAGAAATACAAATAATATCAGAAAAAGAAGGAATTAATGTGTTGAAAAAGTTTATTAATTATTTTGAACAACAAAATAATATAGAATTTAATGTTGGTGATTTACGTATTTTTCGAAAGTATTTACGACTTTTTAAAACTAAAGAATTTAATTCAAAAAACTAAAGTACGCTAGATGCATTTTTAGAAAGATAAGTATTATTTCTTTAATTAGTAATTTGTACTGCTTGAAAAAATCTTTATCGAAGACTTATTACATATTTTAGTAATACTATTATAATGAGTTATATAATTAATAAAGGGGTTTTGTGCAATAGGATATATACATTCTATATGTAACCTTTTCGTATAGATCTTTATATATATTTCTAAGGCATTTTTTCAAAATCCTTCAATGACTATGAATAGTTAAAATTTTCAAATTCTGATAAATCAAACTCAAGAACAAATGATTCAAACTCACTTAATGATAATGAAGTAATTTTTATAAAAGACAAAAGGAGAAGCTATAGAAATATTTAGGTTATAATTAAATTATTAGCATTAGATGATTTCAGAAATTAGATATATAAAGCCATAAATTTGCTATTTTAAGGAAATAGACAGTAACTTGGAAAATGTCTTTTATGAGATGATCTTAAAGCTATGAAAGCAATATCCTTTTTTTTAAAAAAAAAAAAAAATAATTAAAGTTTATTTTACAAAAAATTATCCTTAACATTCATCTTATTTTTCACGTCTTAAGCATATCCACTGAGATACGTCCAGTAGAATTGCATTTTCAACAGCTTGATCAGTTTTTATCTAATTATACATTTTATATATCATTATATGACATATAAAAATTACATGCAAATTGCAACCTTACTCAACAACATTATCAAATAATAGTTTTCTACTTGACGAAGTTGATCTAGATTTGGTAGTGATGGAGACATGCTAACAGCGAAATCTACCACTTCTATGTGAAGTAGTGCCAGATTTGTTCTTTCAGCTGGTATTGTCATAAACACTTAATAATTCTATGTTTAATGAAAAGATTAATGGAAATGGTATTAGTGTTAGTAGGGGTATATCTATTTCGGGCAGTAAAGCAGATGATGAACTCGACATGCCTATATTATGAAAATCTAGGAAAAGTTTGTATTCAACTTACATGCCTATTTTTTTTTAAAAATATTTAGACTATCTAATTGATATTTTTCATCATTTCAAATTATAAATTAAAAAGCATAGAAATTATCGAAACTTC